CTCCAATGATTGTGCCAATTTCCCTGATAACTTGGCCTCCATATGGGGTCTGATCCCTATGCCTGGATTCTCCTTTGTCCATTGATTCTCTCCTCTGAGGTGATTGGTCTCTATATCGCCTATCCCCCTATTTCGGGAGGTAGACTTGTGGGTGTATTCACCCCTTCTCGAGGAGCGTGGGTTATTCTAGCTCAAGGATCGAGGAGCATCTTTACATTCACTGGTATCATGTCTGTAAAGTTGGTGAAAGGTGCAGAACCTTGACCCTTCCAGGGGCTTGTTTGATCGCTTCTTCTTTTTCTTCTTCTTCAGACTATTTGATCCCCCGGATGGTCCTACCTCGGCAAGAGCATTTTCATATGCTAGCACTGACATTGCATTTAGAGTGGCCGAAGCCAATGCCTGTCCGGATGTGGAGGCTACTGTGTGACCGGCCTAGGTCTATTGCTGGGTGACGAGGTGTGCAGCTGGTCCTTGACCCATTTGCCTCTGAGGCGGGGGAAGTCCCTAAGCCAAATAGTTCTGTGGTCAATCATCTCTTCATTGACGATTTTCACCTCATCATTTCAACCAGCTCATCATAGGTGGTGGGATTCTTGCTGCGTACATCCCTCCAGAACAGAGTGTTCATATTTAGGCCACCTTTCAAGGCTAAAAGGGCCTTCCTATCAGTGCCTTGCTCGCAGTACATGATTTCATCGGTGAATTTGGCGAGGTAGCTTTTCAACGTCTCGCCAGAAGCTTGCCTCATATCTTGTAGGCGTTGCACTGGGGCCTCTCCTTCCTTTCGTGAAAGGTATTGGTTCAGAAATGCTTTCTTCAAGTCTGGCCAGCTTCTGATGCTCAAGGGTGATAATCTATTGTACTACACTTCAGCAGCTCCGGTGAGGGTTAGATGAAAGGCTCTACATTTCAGTGCTGGCGAGGCTCCTCTGAGGCTCATCTGCATCATGTACTTAGTCAGGTATTTTTGTAGATCCCCATTTCCTTCATACTTTGGGATTTTAGGGAGCATGAAATTTGCAGGCATCGGGAAGCTTCAGATTTATCTGGAGAATGAGAGGTTGTCATCATCATCATCGATTTTGTAGGAGCGGCATGGCCCTTCAAAGCCTTCCCTTTTTGATGTATTTTAGGGAGGTGAGGTGCCTCTTCTCGACTATCCCAATCCACTAGGTTCCTCCTCTCCAGCCTATTTCTAGGTGGAGGAGGTACTTGTTCTTGCTCCTACTCTTGTCGGACTGATCTTTGTACGGAACGGACCCTATTGCTAGGGTTCTGCCCTATTCTGTCGAAGACACTAACAGACCTTTGGGGTTCGTATTCTGGTGGGAAGTTCTTTCCCAGTGGTGGTGCTGCTGGTTGGCTTTCTTGCGCGTAGGATGTCATATCCACACCCACTTCTCTTTCAAGGGTGTGTGCTCGGTGCTAGCTTGAATGGCCTCGGCCATGAGGCGCAGGAATTTCTTAAGTTAGATATGATCCTTGAGGCATCTGGAAGCCCTGATGACCTCGGGTCTGCATGAAGAATTCACGCATCGCCACATTCTAAGCGACAATGTCCCTCATTCTGGCAGCTATTTGAGTCATTTCTTCAGTGAGCGCTGCTGTCCTGTTGCCTCGATGACGCCGGTGATGGGGTCTCCGATGCGTGACATTGGTCCTGATTATTTCTTCTTCAACAGCATCCCTGTGCCCTTCAAAATTTGCATCTTCATTACTATAACTAATTTTGTTTGTCCTTTCAAGGGTGTTAAAAACCTTGTAGGTTGACCTTGTTCTTTTTCAAGAACGTGCCTTTTTCAGGGTAAGTCGATGGGTGGACAATGTGGAATTTTGGACGAAAAGTTTCCCACAGACGATGCCAATATGTTGACCTCGAGAATTGGACCCTCCACGTGGTCAACATATAACTACTCCATATAATCCTCCTTGCGCACAACAACACACGGTCAAAAGCACATGGCCGGAACCAGCAGTGATGGTGGTGGCCGCATACACTCCGATGGTCAAGTCAGCGTTGGGTGATTAGAACAGTGCTCAAGTTATGCAAGAGAGTGGGAAGGATAATATATATTATTTAGTATGGAGAGCAAAGTTATAAGAGTTTCATTACCTTTGTCTCTTGCCAAACCTTGGCTATTTATAGAGGTAGAGCACCGCTGGATGTGGGACGCGTGTATACATTTGATGGTGTGAGGCACCCACTCATAGGTGTTAATCAGCCACATCTAGAATGGGTAGACAATTATTTTTTCTGAATTGAGTTGACATAAAGTTGATAAGTCACATCAACTAGACCTATGGAGACGTCACATCACTTGATCTTTGGAGGCAGAGGGGACTCTGACATATATCTTTCTGACAGTGGCGGCGGAGGGATCTGTTAAGGGAGTGTCTCGGAGTGCTCAACGCTTCGGAGTTGAAGGACACTTTGATTGCTTCAGTGGATCTACTCTTCGCAACATTTCGAAGTTGAGGGATACTTCGATTGCTTCAGTGGATCTACTATTCACCTTACAGCGCGCTATGTTGAGGTCGTCAGAAGTGGGCATCACTTTTCGAAGTGGTTTAGCTAGGGGGTAACATAATCTATTTATTATGATCGATTAATTAATAGCTTATTTATTTATAAGGTATTTCTTGTTTTCGAAATGTACTATCATCGTCGATTATATCAATCTTTTGGAGGGTTATGAAGTAGAGAAAGTATATCTAGAAAAGATAAATATTTTACATGCAATTAATATTGCAACTTCAGCTTGAACAATAGATGTACAAATACAATTACAAATTAATTTTGATGTTATAAATTTCGATTTGCAATAAGAGAATTAAGATGAATCCTTATTTGGTGGAGGTATTTTGTAATCAAATAGTTGAATTTATCGTAATAGAATGATACAAAGGAACTTCTGACTCGTGAGCTATATTGGGAAGACAACACAACTTTAGAAAAATGTTGACTCGTGAGCAAATAATTGAGACCATCATGAAAAACTATCAAGATGATGAATTTGAAGTTGATAGTTCTACTACGGAGCCTATTTCACTCTCAAGTCCTGACTACATTGAACAATTTTTTGTTGCAGTATGAGAAAATCACATCTAAACTTCTAATTATGTTATGAAAAGTTAGGGAATGTCCTCTTTGTTGTTTTCAGACCATTTTTAGTTTTTGATTTTCAAAAACACTAAAAACACGTTTACTTACCTGTTTTCAGAAATAAATTTTCGAAAATGCGAAAAAAAATTAAAAAGAAAACGCAAAATGTTCGTTTTGACTCTTTTTAGTAGAAATCAACCCAAAACTTCAAAATGCGGAAAACGCAATGTTTTTGCCAATAGTATTATAGCTCAATTGGTTGAGTTATGGATTTTCTTAAGGTCACGAGTTCAATTTCGTTTCACCACAATTCAGTACAAAGGAATTCTCTTTTTATATGCATGGTACAAGAAATTTCAATTAAATTCTGCCTTTTTTTTCTTTCTTTCTTTCTTTTTTTTTTTTTTTTACCAATAGTCGAATAATTCAGTTTGTAGAGTCACGGATTTTGAGATGGTCACGAGTTCAATTCCACCGACCTACTTTCAATACAAAAGATTATTATTATTTTTTTTTTATGCACAGTACAAAAATCTTTCAAATAAATTGGTAGGTGGGTGAGATTTGAACCCGGGTCACCAGCATGGAGTTTTAATGTTTTAACCACTATGACAATCACAATGGGCCTGTTCGGTTGTGATTTTTAGAATTGATTTTTTGACCGTTAGAAGAAAAGTAGAAACCACATATGAGATAAAAAAAGTCAAAAATTACGATTTGAATAGTGAAATAATGATCAAAAAATCACTCCCAAATGAGAACCTATATATATGTTGAATAATTGCTTTTTCAATTTTTCAAAAAACTAGAAAGTAAACGCATTTTTCAAACCCAGTGTAACATTAATTTCAAGAAAAAAAAATGAGCAACAATTGAGTCATATCATAAAAAGCCTCATCGTCGAATCATAAACACTATGCATCATTAAATTATTAATTTGTGGAGTATTAAATTATTGAAATTCTACTGTATATAAATTAGACACAGAAATGTTCGAATCATACCTTCCATGAAAATGTTACTAAGAAAATAAAGTGTGCCATTACCCTTTAAATATTATACTTTTGAAGAGTATAATAGTACCCTTATTAGCCATTCTTACCCCAAAAGAACCCATTGAAAATCCAAGAATTGTCCATGTTAGCTCAATTAAGTTAAAATTTTCTTAGGGCCGAGTCGAGAACAACCCCAAGGAAAAGGGACGTTAGCTACCTGAAGAATCTGTCATCAACATTAGAAATTTAGTTCAATATGACATGAAGGGTCGAAAAAACTTTAAAAAGATTTCAAAGAAGTGTAACATACAAGATCACAAACAGTGACTATTACCCATCCAACTTACCAATCAATACCAGATTGTGCTCTTATTTTAGTCACAGAAGTTCCAATCACTTGGTAGAAGCAAGTGAACAACCGGAAAAGATTACAAATATGCTGTTTTTGGCTAAGCTTACAAGCACACCTGTTAAGGTGCTTATAAGCACGGCCAAACATGCTCTAAATCAAGATGTACAGAATTGCTTTTTCCATTTTGAGGAACGATGACCATGCAGACTACAATCAGACTTGAAGACTTACTTTTAAAATATTTCTGAGAAACCTACTGAAAGATTTAAAAGAACAAACTCCAGCTGGTAGTATTTTCAAACAGCTTTCTTCATCTCCTGCTTCCAGCAGAAAATGCATCAATCTGCTTCTTCATGGTTCGTTTGGTAGGGCAAACCGTGCAGACAATACTATAAAAGAAAATAAAAGTTGCAACCTTGTGGTGGGTTATTATGCATGAAATGTGTGTAAACTTTCCAATTTCCTGCTCAGTAGCTATAATGACCTCCATACAGACCAGATTTCTGAAGCATTTCCCATCGGCATTTAGAACCTCAGAATACGCCAACTCGCCCCTCCTCCAAAAGGAAAAAATAAAAATAAAAAACAGAGGCCTCCCACTATTGAGAATACTCATTGGAAGTCATACTATTACAAACTAATAGGCCTCAAGCTCATCCTGCTTATTTGACGGGTTAGAATGATCTGCCAACTTACAAAACTGCCATAATTGTATCTTTTTCCCCAATATTGCTGAGCAATCCTAGTCTTCAGAGGATATATGATCTTCGGCAGCATATCCTACTTGAGGTATGCCAAAAGGAACAACCTGCATTATCAATTTAAAATCCCGTAAGATCAGCCTCACAGCGACTGGACTATGTCGTAAGACTTAAAAATCAATGCAGCTATTTAAAAGAAAAATCAGTTACTTGATCGTTGCTTGAAATATCATCTGTTGAAGTTTTGGTTCTCTTTGTGTCATGGATTCTGTCAGATTTCTCTTCTTCAAGATCTTCATCGGTAAAGTTCTGACCCATCACCTCTGTAGTGAACATGAACAAGATTTATGGTTAAAAAGATCTGACAAACTAAGATCTAGTTGTCATGCTGACTCTCCTCCAGTAGGTTAAATGTACTGTTGGACCATGTAGAGCAAGCTTAGCCCCTATTTGACAACCATTATTTGAAAACTCGTTTTTTCTACATACTCATTTTAACCACACGTTCACACAATAGAATATTTTGCACGTAAACTCAAAACTTTCCATACTTTTTAACCATACATTCTCTTAAAAATCACTATTCAAAACATTATATTTCTCAAATAATGGCCATCATCAAACATGGGCTTAATTTTTTTTTCCAGGGTTACATTGGATAGTCCTTACGTGTATTAAGTCAACCAAATATTCCTATCATATATAAAGGATTTTAGTGGGGTGGAAAAGAGACGTTTTTTAGTAGACAAGACAAAAGAAGTGTGAAAAACCTAGTAATCAACTACATCACAATGATAGAATCTATCGCTACAAGTGAATGTGCATCTCACCTACGAATCCATGAATTTGTTTTGCATGTTTCTGGTTTTGTTTTAATCCATAGCATGTATAGACTTCTAAGCCAAGGCAGACATTGAAAACAAGGTTCTATACTTGTACTAATAAGGTCCCATGTTATAAATTATGTGAACTGATCAAGAGAAAAGAATTAATTTTACTACAAGGACGACAATACATTTCTTGCTCAATGCTAACATGTTTTAATGCATTAACAACAATTCTGCATTTGTAAACTACTCAAAAAAGGTTGCCAAAATGAAAATGTAAGCTACCTGTATTGCTGCCAGAAAAATCTTGGTGCTGGAATTGAAAGTGGTTTGCAGGAAATTGATTCACCGCAGTTGGTGAAGCAGCTTTAACACGGGAAACTGAAGAGTTTCTGGCTGCTTGCCTGTCAGCATACCTGTAATGTCGTATCCAAGGATTACCCAGGAGACTAGATGAATCCTCGACATCATTCACTCGAGGTTCGTCGCTCATGAAATCTATTTTAGACCAATAGCCATCTCGATAAACCTTATACTGGAATAAAAAGAGGAGAAAATAGTCTCTATCAATTAAATTGGATTTAATCAATATAAACAAAATGAAACTGAGGTCATCAGCATGCAGTGGACAAACCTGGCCAGAACGATCATCTGAGCTCTTCTCCTTGTGCTTGAGTGGTTTGGATTTGGATTGACGATTTTCCATAGCAAAACCAGATAAATCCAATGATTTATATAATTGGTTGACAAATGAAGTTTCCATAGATTTAAGATACAAACTATGTTTCTCATTTGTCCACTCTATGGGCCTTGATTCTGTAGCCTGAGATTCCTGAGATTATATTGCCCAAATGAGAACCGTGAAATCTTACAAAATAGAACACAAAATGCTCGGATAAACAAATAAAAGTAATGCGCATGGAACACAGAAAGGCATTGCACAACAACACAGGGTGGCAAACTTCCAAAACTTAAAAGGGAAGCATGTAATTATTTCAGCTGATTTCAAATTATCAAATTGCCTGTGTTCACAATCTCATAATGGTAAATGCGGGAAACTCGCACCAATTAATGCTATTGAATATAGAAGTTCAAACAGCATAAAATAACAAATACAAAAGAAAGCAAGAAAAAGAACGCCAAGATAATGGGGTACACTAACTGTTGCCTAAGTCCTTGGATGCCACAAGCTTCTTCACTAACTTTAAATGAACAAAATTATTATCTAGATCACTGGCATGATCAAAATCAATGTAAACATACAATGACCAACGGTATCGTCTCACTCAAAAACTAAACTAATATCCTCAGCGTTTGTTTAGGAGAGATTTTTACAATTGAAAAATGACTTTGCTCGGAGAATATGTGGTAAAAAATGATTTCTAGAAAATCTCAACCAAACAAGCTCTCAGTATTTACTGAACAAAAAAAATATATTAGGCTCGATAATTGTTACCTATATCGTCAGGCACCACATATTAACTCACTAATTTCTAGGAGGAAAGCACAAATATAGCACAATTTATAACATTACCACTACTCAGAGATCCAAAGTAAAAATCTTAAAAAAAAAAAAATAATAAAAAAAAATTTAAGGTGCCTTTTTCATTAAAGAATTCTACATTTCCATTTCATTTAGCATATTTACAAAAGACTTATCTCCGTATTCATCCTATGTAAGACTTGTCAAAAGAAGGCTAAAGAATAGATTTTTCTCATCGGTTACGAACCCATGCACTCAAGATCCCTAAATATATTGTCCCAAACCAAAATTACAATTTAGTTCTATTGTATAGTTCATCTTTCTTCCAGCATATGAGAAAAACTAAAATGTCTGAAAGCCCTATTGAATCGAATAAACCTTCAATCCCCAGCACGAATTGCCAATAGAATCCAAAAAAGCTTGAAGAGCCCCCGCTGTAAACCGAAATATAAGATTGAAACTAAAAACAACTATTTAGAAATCTGGGTATTCTAAGAAACTTTCCCAACTCCTTTCACTTAAATTAAGGTTAAGCAAATCCTAGGTTTTCATGGAATATAGTCCTTCACTTTGATCCACTGATATTATTATCCCTTCTGTTTGGGGACTTGGCTGGTGGTTCAGGATTCATACGAAATAAAAAAATAAAAACAAAAATAAAATAATCTTGAAAAGAAAAATCAGAGCTGATCCATCCATGCATAAATACAGAACTAATTGAAAAGACAAGAAAATGATATATCACCAGAGCTGAAGTCTCTTCTTGCTCCTCAACACAATTTCTTGAAACCTCGTAATTTTCCAGCTCTGGAGAAAAGCTTCGAGCAATCCTAGATGAACCCACAAAATTTTCCATAATCTGATGGCCAAATCTTGTTGAATTATTTACTGAAAAAACAGGAATTTTTAAATTCTATAGTACTATGAAAGATTATAAGTTGCTTTGTCCTAAGGATGATAGGGTTCGGTTTAAATTTCCTTGAAAAAGAGCAAAAAGAGAAGACCCAGTTCTCTACTTTTTACACGTGTCGAACAGCCAACATATTGCCACGTCACGGCTATGACGATCAGATATTTTTTGAGTGTGTTGCAAAATATCAAATTCTAGGATCATAAAATATCTCCGTCCGCCAATACAATGTAACTAAACGATTCGTTTCGTTGGGATAATATCAATTTTAGAATTCGACCGCTTATTCATTTGAACTTTCTCTAATTTTAGTAGTCTCGAGAAGGTTCCTTATGACAATATTAAGGCCCTGTTTGGACGCATTATTTGAAAAAATATATATTTTTAAACAGTGATTTGACATCATTTTTACTATATATTTTTAATAAAATAATATTACACATAAATATAAAAAATTTCTTTATTTTTTAACCACACATTCTTCATCAATCTAGAATTTCAAAATACATTCTTTAAAAATAATGTGGCTCAAATACACACACAGGCCCCGTTTGGGAGGGATTTTGAGAATTGATTTTTTGACCGTTAAAAAAAAAAGTAGGGTCCACATGTGAGAGAAGAAGTCAAAAATTATAACTGACATAGTAAAATAACGGTCAAAAAATCAATTTTTTTACGATAAAAAATTCCTCCCAAACAGGCTATAAATTTATAAGAATAGTTCAAATTGTCTTTATGTGTAAGATTATTATTTTTATATTTAAGCAGCCTAAAATTATATTGTTAAATATGTTCAAAAATAAATCCGCAGTTGCCACCCTTCGAGGATTACTTGTTTTCTATTAATGAATTCAAACATTTACCTAGTTGATAATTTGTTTTCTTAACTCACTTTATGGTTTGGAAGGAATGGGTTCTCATCGACTAGTGACGAGAAATTTATATATAGAAAATGTGCGAAGTCGTCCCTTACTTTTTTAAAAAGTAACATATTCACAACTTGAGTAGTGAAATATTTATTTATTCAAGACTTATTTACTTTTACTTAAATTTTTGAAACTCAGTCAAACATGCAAACTAGTTTAAAACATTTGTGCTCGTGTCCTTTTCATCGTGGAAATTCCATGTCCTGCCCACACTTCATGTTTTGTCTTTGAATCTGGACAAATTTCTCAACCCTTGATATTTGTTACTTCTTTGATGATTGCCAAAATATTTAGTCCCTATTTGATATGGATTTAAATCTAAATTTTAATTTAAGTCAAAATCAACAATTAATTTTAATAATATATTTTATGAAATTTATAACTTTTCAATCATATATTTAATCAATATTTATCAAAATTTACTAAAATTCTGATTTTAATCTCCACCGAAAAGAGGCTTAGTGTCACCATTCTTGAAAAACAATTTTGGGAGGACCAAAGGCAACTAAGAATTTCCTCCAAGACTATTACTACAGAAGTATATATCATTTGCAGGTAGAGATGGCAACGAGGCCCCGCCTCACTGAGCATTTTTCCCAACTTGTACCCATCTTGTAACCCGTTTAAGGTAAGGTGGGGGAAGGGTGCGGCGGGGTGGGATATTTGTCTCGTTTATGTACCCTTTCTTTTTTTTTTTTTTTAAAGTTTTCTAATGATTCATTTTATCGCCCTCATTCATTAAAGTGGGACAATAATATAGTTATTGAATTTTTTTAATTAATTTATTCACTTTTAAAAGTTAAATTATTCTATGCCCTTTATTTTTTTTTTATCACATTCTTTATATAATCTTAGTTCTCGTCTTCTATTAGAATTAATGAAATATTCATGGAGTTTTCCATTTAAAGTATTGAATTATCAAAAAAAAAATTAAACTGGGCTTAGCAGGGCGGGGCGGCCCTGTTACCCGAACCCACCCCGTCCCCGACCCAATTACCCAATTAAGTCGGTAATCCTCGTCTCGAATGGGACAAGGTCCGCGGGTATCAGATATGACGAATTCGTGACGAGGTTCGCGGGTATCGAATATGACGGATTTTTTTGTCATCCCTATTTGCAGGATATATTATTTGAGTTTGAACGTACCTAGAAAGCTTATAAAATATTCCATTTATAGTAATTACATATGAAATCCGTCTTTGATTATATTTTGTAAATATTAGCAGAGTAAGCAAGGGCATACTGAGCTATATTAAGAATGAAAAAATAAAGTTTTATCCATTATAAAGCCAAATACAATCTAATGTTGTGTAATAAATATACACTGGAAGGTATAGAGTACAAGACAACATCGTATGGCATAACAAAATTTTAGCTTAAATTTTCTTTCTTTAATTCTATGCCATCGTTTGACAACTATTAAAATCTCAAACTCATTTTCAACCACACATTCTCATAATAAAATATTTTGTACGTAAACCTAAAACATTTCTTCATTATTAACACATTCTCCAAAAAATCATTCCTCCAAAACATACATTCCCATAAAAATAAATAAATAAATAACTCATTTTAATGATTCTCAAACAGTAGAATATAAGATCATTAAATCCGACATACCAAACATTTTGTTTCGACAAATAATAAGCATCAAAGATACGGAAGACAATTTATAAAAGGACCCAAGTGTGCGCTGCCTAAGTGCAAGTAAACTTTTAGAAGAAAAATAAAATTTACAAAATCATAAAAAAAAAAAAAAAAAAATCAAAGGTGCAAGTTTAATGAGAGCAAATGAAACATTCTTGATGCCTGAAGTGGTGGCATTACATATATAAAGAAAACTTATTCTTTTTTGCAAAAAAAAATAAATTACCCAGCAATAATACTCCAATTACATTTACTACAAATAGCTGAACATTAGCACAGATGTTTACATAATTGAGATGGAAAAAAAATATATATTAGTCAAAATTTCATCAGCCTTGACACTGAGTTTATTCTCGTATTATACAGTCGTTGAGCTTTGTGCAGATAACACGATTTAAAAGAACTCGGTTCCTTGTATAAATAGTCAAATGAGGATGAAAAATCAACTAGTTTGCTTTGGATCATCCTCCGTTATCACAGTTTCCTGCAGGTCCATTTGTCCTGCAATTGTAAAAATGTAGTGAAATATCAAACATTAGCATAAATCGAAGTTGCAGGATATTGCTATATAATGAATCGAAGTTTCAGACGGTTTTAATGAAAGTAAACAGAGACGAACAACAAAGATTCACTGATCAAATGAAAGAATAGCAATTGACTAGCTACTGCAATTTTGTCATTGAAGATGATATTATGGAGCATGGAAATTTTGACATTGATATTTTTATTTTCATAGGTAAAAAAGGAGATAAATGATCATACCAAATAATGACACTAAAGATGGAGGCTTTGAAGATCCATTTGAACTCCCATCTATATCTGCACGATGATCATTTCTGTTAACAATCAGATGCAGATAACATGGAAAGGGATTATAGAATGAGTTTTATCCAAAATAAATAATTCAGCATCATCGGTGATCACACGACAGAATCAATAAATAAACTCATGTAATTCTACTTCAAAATTGATGCTTTGTACTTAGGAACAAGTTACATGATGCAATTTTACAAGAAAACAGACGTGTTTAAAGTCTTTCGAGCTCCAAGTCTATGAATGGTTGAAGCGTTCCTTTTAAACAATGATTTTTCAAAAAGAGATCAAGAAATTCAAGAGTATCAACATTATGACATTTCAAGTTTTTCGGAGATGAAAAGAAATAATTTCTATAATATCCAAGCAACATGGTTCTAAATCAAATTTAGCTGACTGTAATTTAAGAAACCCATATATATCAGAATAGATGATATTCTTCTACCAAAGCTTGCCATCTGCTTGTAGCAGTGCAAGACTTTCCATTTGTTAATTATTAAAGTAGACCTACAGTTAAATACAACAAAAGCATGGATCAAGAGAAATAACTTTCGCTACCCATTCTTCAAAATATTTACCAAGATTGTATTCATCATATATTGTACCTCATTCACAATTTATTCCAGTTTTATAGTGAGTGGAACTTCTGAGTTCTATCCCGTTTTCTGTTTTGCAATATTTTTCCCATAAATCTTGTTTCGGATGGCTACAGAAAGAAACCACTTGATGTTCATTATATTTCACGATCTGTCCTCTTCTAATTAACCACAAATAAGATTGACTGAGGTCAATTGAATCCATATAATCTTTAGTCTTAACGGCACACTACAAAGTGAATTGGTTGAGCTTTACGATACTAAAAGCTAGATTCTTTGTTTTTGAGATAAAATGTAAAATTAAAATAGTCTTTAAGATAGAAGAATATTTTCAGAGTTCATTAGTATTTCACAAAAAATAATTTGTTATTAAAGTTGTCCTGAAGCAGCATACCTGAAGTTCCCATTGATTTCAGGATATCAGATTTTCTAAAAGTATATCCAATGAAGTTGGCATCTTTAGATGTTAACATCTGCAAGATAAAAGTTAACGGAAAAACTATCACAATCTTATCACCATTTTGTCAAGGAGAAGCACAAAGAACAGAATATTAACTTATAAAACAGTTGTTTGCAGTATGTATCACATAACTTTGGGCATGTAGTTATAGTTTTTATCAATTATGGCCAAGCAAAACAACAGTTTCCCTTTTCAGCAGGAAAGTTTAGTAACATTGTTATATAAGAACTTCTGAAAAATGATGGTCTATTTTTACCTGTCTTTCTTGGGAAGTAAATAGTCATGCTACATATACAGTAAAATTTATGCAGTTCTTCATAATTTCCATTTTTTTTTTTTTTTAAGTTTTCATGTTCCAAGTAAAGATCTTTACCTTCCGCCAAGGTCCCACTGTGGATACGGCAGATGGTGGATTGTCGCCCTATTACAGATCAAAATGTAAGCACAACATAATAATTGGAAAAAAAAAAAATATTGAAGTGATTAAGAAATCCCTCACAGACAAGATTTAAATGATTTTCACAATTACAAGTAATCTTTGAGAGATTTCTTTAACCATTCCTTGAAATTCAAGTACAAAAGCTAACGATATTAACATACTTCCGCAAACTTTTCAAAATTCTGTGTGTCTAACTCTCCAGTTACTGTAGGTTTGTAGGCAGGTTCCATTTCATAAAGGGTATCCCAGTTAACGCCTGTAAACCACGGATGTGCCTGGAATTGAAAACAAGGTAATGCTAATCACAAAGAAAACTAGTCTTTTTGTAGAAATTCCTCTTGTACAATCACTAATACTATAAATATAAAGTTTATCCAAGTTCCTGAAAATAATATTTTTTCTACCTTTGTCTGTGTATGGACATATATGTCATTCATTTTACCTTTATTTCGTCCACTCCTCTGGTCCCCAACCTTCTTTCAACATCACATAACAAATGACAGATCAGATCCTTGGCCTCAACTGAGATTTTTGGTTCTTCAGGGAATTTCAAGCATGTTTTCCAATTGATAATCTGATACAAGAAAGAAGCATGATATATCTTGCAAAAAACGAGGGATATTTTTGAAATAGTAAAAATAATGATTAGCGCAAGTGTGAAAAGATTATATTTAACATTGCTACATCAACTATGTGTAAATGGGTACGAATTATGATTAAAAATACTGAAATTATTGACGATTCCCATGGAGATCTCATTTGAGAAGAACCAGCAAAAAAATTTCATTCTGCAAAACTTTTCATACTTTGCAAATTCTTGCATCGTCAAGAAGTTTGAACAATCACAAACTGACAAGTATTACAATACCTTGCGGCATGTCATTCTAGGATCGTCAGAGCAAAAGGGAGGATAGCCTATGAGCATTTCATACATGATTGCCCCCAGTGACCACCAGTCACACTCCATTCCATATCCTTTCTTCAATAAAACTTCAGGTGCCATATAATCAAGAGTTCCAACAGTCGAATATGCCTGCAAAAGTTACCATTCAGCTAATGCTTTTTCCCCAATCTTCTTTAAGTATATCAGTATAAAATAAATGCGTAAATTACATTTATGGTCACTAAATTTGTACTAAAATTTCATGCTAAGCTTTTGTTTCTACTGAACTTAAACTTTGTTTCAAGTTGTACGCTTCGTCCATTTCTAATAGTCCAACAGATATGCTGACGTGACACTCTAGTTTTTCCCAAGTAGCTGCCAACTAGATTTTCATGTTAGCTTTTCTATTAGTCAAACCGGACGATATGGATGGAATGACCTCATTGTGAAAAGAGCTGAAGTTTACTTGAAACAAAATTTAAGTTCAGTAATCAATTTGAAACAAAATATAACGACCAAAGTGAAATTTCACGAAAAGTTCAGAGTCCACTTTCATTTTTAACCCGCTTACAATAGTGAAAGCGAAAATTGTCGGACCAACATACTATTCCAACTAAGCAACAAAATGAGTATAAAAGAATACCAAGGCACGACGGTTACGTTTCCACTGCTGTAACTGCTCCTTCGCCATTAACCAAGGAGCACTATCATTGCCATCATGCCCTTCACTATCACTTCTAGACTCCTGATTAGTAAAATCATCGTCTTCCAACAACGATGAATATTTATTATCCAGGGGCTTACACAAGCCAAAGTCAGAAAGCTTTAAATGGCCATTTTTGTCCAATATTAGGTTGTCTGGTTTGATGTCCCTACAATAAGCACCAATTTGATAGCACTAAGGTTGTAGAAATATATATAAGAACAACATGCACATATAAATAAGCAAAAGTTGGTGCATTAAAAGTATGGCTAATGCTTGAAATAACAGGTTCGATGACAACATTTCTGTAGGAAAAGGCCTATCTATCTAGTTCCATTTGATTGACTTTTGACTCTGCTATCAAACAGGGAAAGAAGAACGAGCAAATCATACAAATACTTAGGATAAAATGATGAATTACATTGATACCTATGGACATAACCGTGCTGGTGAATCGAATGAATCGCTAGAATGCTTTCTGCAATGTAGAACCGTGCAACATCTTCGGAAAGGGTATCCTCTCTCATAAGTAAAGTCATAATATCACCACCAGGCAAGTATTCCATAATAAGGTATAAAAAATCAGAATCTTGGAAAGAATAAAAAAGCTTCACTATGCAACGACTATCCACCTCCACAAGCAAATTCCTCTCAGATCGGACATTATTGAAGTGATTAAGAAATCCCTCACAGACAAGATTTAAATGATTTTCACAATTACAAGTAATCTTTGAGAGATTTCTTTAACCATTCCTTGAAATTCAAGTACAAAAGCTAACGATATTAACATACTTCCGCAAACTTTTCAAAATTCTGTGTGTCTAACTCTCCAGTTACTGTAGGTTTGTAGGCAGGTTCCATTTCATAAAGGGTATCCCAGTTAACGCCTGTAAACCACGGATGTGCCTGGAATTGAAAACAAGGTAATGCTAATCACAAAGAAAACTAGTCTTTTTGTAGAAATTCCTCTTGTACAATCACTAATACTATAAATATAAAGTTTATCCAAGTTCCTGAAAATAATATTTTTTCTACCTTTGTCTGTGTATGGACATATATGTCATTCATTTTACCTTTATTTCGTCCACTCCTCTGGTCCCCAACCTTCTTTCAACATCACATAACAAATGACAGATCAGATCCTTGGCCTCAACTGAGATTTTTGGTTCTTCAGGGAATTTCAAGCATGTTTTCCAATTGATAATCTGATACAAGAAAGAAGCATGATATATCTTGCAAAAAACGAGGGATATTTTTGAAATAGTAAAAATAATGATTAGCGCAAGTGTGAAAAGATTATATTTAACATTGCTACATCAACTATGTGTAAATGGGTACGAATTATGATTAAAAATACTGAAATTATTGACGATTCCCATGGAGATCTCATTTGAGAAGAACCAGCAAAAAAATTTCATTCTGCAAAACTTTTCATACTTTGCAAATTCTTGCATCGTCAAGAAGTTTGAACAATCACAAACTGACAAGTATTACAATACCTTGCGGCATGTCATTCTAGGATCGTCAGAGCAAAAGGGAGGATAGCCTATGAGCATTTCATACATGATTGCCCCCAGTGACCACCAGTCACACTCCATTCCATATCCTTTCTTCAATAAAACTTCAGGTGCCATATAATCAAGAGTTCCAACAGTCGAATATGCCTGCAAAAGTTACCATTCAGCTAATGCTTTTTCCCCAATCTTCTTTAAGTATATCAGTATAAAATAAATGCATAAATTACATTTGTGGTCACTAAATTTGTACTAAAATTTCATGCTAAGCTTTTGTTTCTAGTGAACTTAAACTTTGTTTCAAGTTGTACGCTTCGTCCATTTCTAATAGTCCAACAGATATGCTGACGTGACACTCTAGTTTTTCCCAAGTAGCTGCCAACTAGATTTTCATGTTAGCTTTTCTATTAGTCAAACCGGACGATATGGATGGAATGACCTCATTGTGAAAAGAGCTGAAGTTTACTTGAAACAAAATTTAAGTTCAGTAATCAATTTGAAACAAAATATAACGACCAAAGTGAAATTTCACGAAAAGTTCAGAGTCCACTTTCATTTTTAACCCGCTTACAATAGTGAAAGCGAAAATTGTCGGACCAACATACTATTCCAACTAAGCAACAAAATGAGTATAAAAGAATACCAAGGCACGACGGTTACGTTTCCACTGCTGTAACTGCTCCTTCGCCATTAACCAAGGAGCACTATCATTGCCATCATGCCCTTCACTATCACTTCTAGACTCCTGATTAGTAAAATCATCGTCTTCCAACAACGATGAATATTTATTATCCAGGGGCTTACACAAGCCAAAGTCAGAAAGCTTTAAATGGCCATTTTTGTCCAATATTAGGTTGTCTGGTTTGATGTCCCTACAATAAGCACCAATTTGATAGCACTAAGGTTGTAGAAATATATATAAGAACAACATGCACATATAAATAAGCAAAAGTTGGTGCATTAAAAGTATGGCTAATGCTTGAAATAACAGGTTCGATGACAACATTTCTGTAGGAAAAGGCCTATCTATCTAGTTCCATTTGATTGACTTTTGACTCTGCTATCAAACAGGGAAAGAAGAACGAGAAAATCATACAAATACTTAGGATAAAATGATGAATTACATTGATACCTATGGACATAACCGTGCTGGTGAATCGAATGAATCGCTAGAATGCTTTCTGCAATGTAGAACCGTGCAACATCTTCGGAAAGGGTATCCTCTCTCATAAGTAAAGTCATAATATCACCACCAGGCAAGTATTCCATAATAAGGTATAAAAAATCAGAATCTTGGAAAGAATAAAAAAGCTTCACTATGCAACGACTATCCACCTCCACAAGCAAATTCCTCTCAGATCGGACATGCTCAACCTATAATAACAAAGTGATTCAATAGGTAAATATCGTGTAGAAGCAACTAAGTGTACAAAAAATTTGTATGGAGTTCAAATCTTCACCTGTCCACGGCTAAGCATCTCTGACTTCTTCAATTTCTTCATGGCGAATATTTCTCCCGTACTTTTAGCACGACATAACCTAACCTGCATCACTTAATCGAGTCACATACATCACCTAAGTGCCTCGTTTCCATTTACTATTGATTTAAACAAGTAAATATTGAAAATGATGATCATAAAATCATTTAACAGAACCAAATATTCCTTCTTTATGATCTAACCAAGAGAACAGTACCAAATCCTGATCACAACTAACTGAAAACAGAACAAATGCAAAAGAAATATGCAATGAATTAAGATTCCATATATACCTCGCCAAAAGCTCCTTTTCCAATGATAGTCAACTGCTCAAAATCATCAATCCCAACTTTATGCCTCTGCAATCTCATATATTCTGTCTCTCTTTTCTCCAAATTTCTCAGCATTCTCTCTTGCTCCTCATTAGATACTTGCGCCTCTTTCGCCCTCCTCTGCAACGCCCACCGCCTGAACCGGCCCGGGCTCAGTTAAAAAGAATCAACAAAACTCACCGACAATAGCATAGATATACATATATTATTAAACATACAATTCAACAAACTAGGTCTTGGGGTCGACCAGATTGATATACTTGCATAAGTACCTAAAAAAGGAATTAACCATTATTCCAATAAATTTAGGATCATAATGATAATTCACCTTTCCTTGCGATCTTGTAACCCTTGATGATAGTTCTTGTAATGATTCTCAATGAACTCTTTCGCGGCGGCGGCTTTCTGCCGTGTGACAGGCGAAGAAACCGCCACATCAGGCTCCAAACTGAAGGTCCGATCGGCCTGCAACTTCATTTTCGGAGCGTCCATATTCACAGTTTTTTCTTCACCACCCTCCATTATTTTTCAGATCAAGAATACAAAAATTTTCCCTTTTCTTGTAAACACCAAGAAAAACAAAAAATGATGCGCCCAATAATTGGAAGGTTCTTGCAAGTGTTATGGAACTCTGACAGTTAAACTGCGGGAATTACGAGGCAAAATGAAAGAAAAGTATCTGAAACTTATAAAGGTGAAAAATGAGAAAAAAAAGTGATTATACTATAGAGTTTTTTGTTGGGATTTCGATGAGGGATCGAGTGTTATGTGGGTGTTCTGTCGTGTGTATGTTTGGTGGGCTATGAACTGGCATTATGCTGATAGCAGACTGTGCAGCAGCAGAGTCATAGCTGTGATTTGATGGATTTGTTTACTAAATTTTGATTAGTTTATTGTGTAGTTGAGAGGAGAATGGAGTGAGAGAAACGCAAATGTTTTATTGAGGAAAAAAGAGAACAGTTCTTAGAAGTATGACTAAAGATTTTTGTACTACGTTGTTAGAGAAGACTCCATTGTGTCGGCGTAACAAGAGAAGGGGTAGTGCGGCATGTTGGATGACAGAATCTTGATGAGATTTTTCTGATTTTTTTTTTAAATTTTCATTTCAAGATTTGTCTTTGTTTTTCAAAATCCTTTGCTTGTTGAGTTTGGAGTTTGTTAGTTGTGTGATGGTGGGTTGATCCAAAGAGTTGGACAAAGGATTGCTCCTCTTGAGCTCCAATGTTAAGGAGATGATGAGTCCTTTATTTGAAGGACCCTGTTATATATTTATCGAGGTTTACGTAAGAAATTAAATAATATCACATGGCACTCTACAATTTATCAATTTAAAATACAGTCAATTTTTTTTTTCAATCTTTTCACTCTACTTCATTTTCAGTAATCGCTTATATACAATTTTTATGTATAAGTAGGAAAATCCTTTTTAGCAATGTTGAGGATAAAATTGTGTACGATTCACCAAGATTTATATCCAACATTAGATAATGTGTGAAGGTAAACGATGAGTTTAATATGGAAATTCTCATTTTGTGACAACTTTCCATATAATACTGTGTCCAATTAAGGATTGAAAAATAGTAAATTGTATGTTGTAAAATTCTATGCACTGTAAAACTTGTTTTATATGTCTTTATGTTGAGGTAAAAAAAATTAAAAAAGTAGAATATATATATTGATTTTAAGATATTTCTTTTATACATTTAGACCGCTGATTTATTAGAATAAACAATGTTATTTAGTCTCATTGGGATTACAATCCTAGTCTAGATGGTATTAATAATATATTAAATGATCCTTTATTCAGCTTATCATCAAGCGTCACCTAAATTAGGGTTGTAACCCAAGTGAGACTGCATAACATTATTATATTAGAATTGATGAAGAAGAGTTTGATAGCTCGTCATTTAATATGGTCTTCCTATACCTTCTTCAATTCTATTATGCAAGAATAGTGGCTCACTCTTAATTGAGATTTTGATGGATTTTTAAAAATTCAGATGCCTCAAATGACATCCATTAAAATTTAGGTGTCCCCAACTGAGATTTTAATTAATTTTAATTCATTAAAATTCAAATGTCCTCGATAATTCATGAATTTATATGAATTTCATCAAGAGCAAAATTTAAAAATTTTTGAACGGATTTTAAGTTGAAAAAATATGTGTAACAAACATTTTTCGAATTTCACCATTTTTAATGAATATTTTTATGAATTTTGTGAAAATCTATTCAAATTCATGATAAATTTTATAATATTTTAAAATTCATCAAAATCTGAGTTGAAAACACCCCTAAAACTAGAAATTTCTTTAACCTAGGGTTGCAAAGATTAAAAGCCTGTTTGGGAGTGATTTTGAGAATTAATTTTTTGACAGTTAAGAGAAAAGTGGGGTCCACCTGTAATAGAAGAAGTCAAATATAACGGCTGAAATAGTGAAATAATGGTCAAAAAATCAATTTTTTGGGTGAAAAAATCGAGCCCAAACAGGCCCTAAGGTTTAGCAAAATCAATAGTCCCCTTGAAAAATAAGTTGAGTACTCAAATTAAAAATAATAAAAGGTGAATGACTAATACGAAACAAAGGTTGACATTTGCAAAATTTACATATTATATTTTAATTATAAATAGAATATAGCAGTTGAAGTAGAATACGTTACGATAAATAATCACAAGAATATGATCAAATTGCCCCTTATAGGGTGGTCGAATTGGTGGAATATGTTAGTGTGAAGGCCTTTGGTCAGGAGTTCAAATCCCTCTACCAACATTTTCTCGATCGAGCATGTGGCACAGGACTTATCTAATGCAGTTTATCTGGTTGGCGTGGTTTGCAGGCTATTGCGTCGGCCCGAAGGTTTACTCAGTGCGTAGTCCAAGGGTAGCGGCTGCGGAGTCCCCCCTCATAAAAAAAAAATAATAATAATAAAATAAAATAAAATAATAATAATAATAATAATAATAAAAATGGAATATGATCAAATTGATTTACAAACCATAAAATAATGATATAGACAGTTTAAAGATGACATGAATGTCCACATGGACCTTGACGACTTTGTGCCCAAATTCAGTGCGCTTAATTATTCCTATCTAAGACCAGATCTAATAAAGGGACGAAAAATTTAGTCTATTCTGCTCAAAATAAAATTTAAATAAATGAATGCGATTTTTTTTAGAGCTTAAAATATAAGTGACTTGAGGCAAAAGACTTTGGTTCAATCTCTCCATTTATTTCATCGTGCACGTGTCAAACGTTGGATAAAAAATTATCCACTTAAGATATCAGCAACGATCACATATATTCATTTAACTAATGTCTTCGACAAATTTGCTCATTACTCTTCTATGTATACGTTTTCTAACTTGAGATGATTTTATGCTGCATATTTTTCTCTCGAAACTTTGACTAAGACTAGATATCATAGACTCATAACAACACGGGTTTTATAGGCTTAATATGACTCTAGTTGAACCGACAACACACTCATCGTCACGTAGGCCAACATCAAGTTTCTTGGTGAAATTTTCAATATCAAAGTTTATTAACACAACCACAAAGTTCTAATCCTAATGTGGGAATTGCTACATGTACATAATTGTTTACATAATGGTGTTCATAATTACACGTGGCATTGGATCCAACATTTAATTCAAATCTCACACTTGCATATTAACAATCGGATGATTGACACATCACATTATGGACACCATTATGTGCAATAATTATGTACAAGTAGAATTTTCCTACTAACGTTGCATAAAAAACTTCTTCCACACTATTTGATTGAAGAATGACGATCGCAAACTCGAGACAAGCAATGGCAATTCGAGAACACAAAATAAAATTCGATCAAAAGTAAGGGTAAAACAAATTTACAAATTTCAACTCGATCATCCTACGTCTTCGGGGATCACTAATCAACAATTAAGCTTTGCAAGGGTTTATACAGACAATTTGAAACACAAGATCCTCTCCTTTTCCAAGCAATAATTCTTGGTACTCTTTTTCCCTGTTTTAGACTTTTCAATTGTTAAAGAGTTCATAACACTTGTACATGGTTGGCTTATCGAGTTGGTCCACCTTATCTCTCTGTGGCACGATGGACTCAAAGTCATTAAAGCTTTCATATTAATCTCACATAGCATTAATTATACGTATTTATTGGTATTCCCGAGCTCAACTAATTATGCAATTTGAAAGTTGGAAAGTTTTTAAGTTTTTTGATCAAACTTGTCAATCATTTTCAAATACAATCAAGATAGGGTGCCAGAATTATTTTGATACCTTAGTTGACATACACTCACAATAAGGGTGGGTACGGGTCCTACGCACATGTAAGAATAGGTCATCCAAGGTGTCAAAAATTTTCTGACAACTTGGCTTAATTCTTTCAAATATATCAAGGTAAGATATCTTGTTTGGTAGAATGCTAGAATGTGCTCTACAACGCTTTAACATGGTAAAAAATGAATGAAAATTAAATTTTTTTTCATTGTCTTGATCAATACAACGTAAAAAAACGTGTCATAAACAAATGACGCAACAAGGATATGGATACTGAAATTACATAAATCAAACGCATGTTAATTTACATGAATACCAATAATTTGAAGCAGAAACAACTTTACTCAATTCAACCTCCAACTATGAACAAAGTAGCTGCTAAATTTTTGAAATAAGATATCCCAAAAAATAAAGGAAAATAAGCACAACTTGCCCATTTGCCCACCTGAAAGATGGAATTCGGAAAAAATCCTACTGTCTTGAAGACTTGTACTGGTGATTTTGTCTTGGAAAGATGGTTTCCCTGAAGAATCTTAAACCATGTCTTGTGTAGCATTCAGAAAGAACTAATGCAGTTCATCTTAAATCTCTTGTCATTGTCAATAATTTCTGTAATAAATCAAGAATTGATCACTGTCTTTGCAGTAAACGAGCAACTGCTAATAGAAATGCAATTGAAGAGATGAAACCTGAAATCTTGAAACAAAAACCAGAGAGGGGTCCAGACCTAAGCTTCCAACATTATCCGCTACCGGAGTAAACAAAGTCTAGCAATTTGAAAAGGAAAGCATGTGTTTTTCCAGTTGGTTAACTTCTCCATTCTGTGTGACTTTAAGAATAGCTTCTGATATATCAATAGCTAATGGAGAACCCTTTGGAAAAATCCGAGACAAGAAAAAAGGTGGATTATACACTGCTGACAATCTAATACTTTGAGAGCAGGATTAATCTTAGAAAGCCAAAATCACCAAGTTTGGAGCTAGACCAACAAGAAAAAAAATGGATTATATAGTATTAGACAGAAACTAGAATCAAGTTCGAAGCATTGAAGGATTCAATCTGAAACTGCATACTAGACTTAAATAAAGGGAAGAGTAAGAATACAATCTTACAAAGCCAAAACCACCAAGTTTGAAGCTAGGCCCTACCTTGGTATAGCCTTTGCAATACTTTGCTTGGAAGACTTAGCAAGGGGAGTAACAAAAAGCACTCCTAAGATTCCCCCTTTATTGAAAGCTGGAGGATAGTCATTAATGGAATTGATGCTTTGATACCAATTGTTAGGATCCAAGAAGTTAGAATAAGGACTTGTGGTAGATTAATGGGTTGCAGTAAATAAATCACTGAATGCTAGCTGAAATAATAAGGAAAATGAATACTCTTTATTGATAAAAGGAAATGATAGTAATGTAAAGAAAACACAGCCATTTGAGATGGCTAGTGTCTCCACACTCTTTACTACTCCACCCACCCACCCCACCCCACCCCGGGGGGGGGGGGGAATAAGCATCATTGCACCGAAAAGTAGTTTGAAGGAATTTGTATTAGGTGGTAGATTGTGGATCGTGGAGAGATTAGAAACCAATTTACCCTTAGGGATTGAAGAGATCTGGGTCATGTTCACCTTATAGCCTGGGCTGTTGTAAAATTGGCCTGGACATTTACTTCGATTTGGACCCACTTTAATGACATTTGGGTTGTAATTAAACACAGTCCCTTTACCATGGATTGAACCCAATCTAATTTCAGCCTGTTTGAAGTATCCTGTCTGTCCTCCACCTTAGGTGCCAACTCAAGCATCGTTTCTTCTTCATTGCAAATTTCCAATTGCACGCTATTGATGAAAATCATGTCCAGCGGATTCGGAAGGTTAAGCCTCCTGTGGCATCGAAATCTCAACATCCCTTGAACCTTCCGACCATTTTCCTCTATATGCTATTCTATGATTACTCCAGTGTGCATTCCTTGGGACAGGCTCCCGAAACCATTTTTGTCAACCTTTTTGCTCAGTATTGCTTTAGGATTAATGAGGGCTGCCACAGCCTTCTGGGTATCCTCCATTGATTGTAGAATTTTAGCCATAGTTTGGGTGATGTTTTCCACAGATTTCTCTAACCCCGACAAGCATTGAATTTCGGACTTTACTTCTAATTCATTCTCCATGGCTTCAACCCTATTTTCTCTCATTTTCTGGGCCATCAGGATGATGTGATCTGATACCAGTTTGGGCAATTAGTATTTTAGCCATATTCTAGGATAAATGTTCCATTCGATCACTCCAATCCTGGCAGGCGATACAACTCTGATTTCAAGTATTCCATTTTTTTCTCCTTCACTTCGACTCGGCTTTCTATCTTTTTCTCGGCTATTGGATCAAATATGCTCTGATACAAATTGTTAAAACCCTACTGTAAGAACAAAAAAGAGAATAAACAAAACTTTTGTTGAAGATGAGGAAAATTACAACAATTGCAAAAGGTAACAGAAGCCTATAGAAAGTTGTAACTCTCAAACTTACCCCTCATCCACTCTCTACAATTTTGCCTGCCTACTAAGCTTTCCCCCCACTCTTATTTATAGTCATTCTCTAACTAATTCCCCCCTCCCTTGTAATAGAATCCTATTGCTGTCCCTTCTCAAGTCTTTCGGGCTCTTCTAGAATTGGAGGCTTGTCAATACCCGAGTTTCTGACATACCTCGTCCTCATGGTGAAAACCAGGAGCATTCTTAGTTCTGCCACGGAGCTGTCCCTATTGTAGTTGTTGTTGAGCTGCTTCAGTATTTGCTTTCGTGGCTGCCAATAAACATTCCTCGGCATCTGGGGCAGAAGCAAACTGATCAGGAGTCCCTCCCATCAGCATTCGCCCCAACCTCAACCGACCACCAACAATTAGCCTCTGTTTGGCCCCCAGTAAACTCATTAATTCCCATTATCAGCCAATTTTTCAAACAAAAGTGGCCCCATATGTTAAGTTGTTCAGAATATACGTGTACCATAAAAGGGAAAGATTTTTATTAATAATAAAGAATACAGTTCACTTTATATGCCTAAATAATGATAATACCCTCTCAACCACTAACTACTGGAAATGTGGATAAATGTGATTGGATGAGGGGTAATTTTATCTTCTGTCATTGATGTTGGAGGGTGTTTTTGTCCACCCATCTCAACGGTCTATTTGACTGAAATAAATTATTGCCAATGGATGAGAAAAGTGGTAGACATGGGCCCCACTTGTTTAAAAAAAGGAGAGTTGAAAAATGACAGGAAAAATAATTTAATGAGTTTTAAAGAGGATCAAACGGACGCTTAGAATGGTATCACTGCAAATTCCATATCCAGTTGTCCATGTTCCGTAAATTAGGCTTGATTTTCCTCGGGCTTGTTTTAATAAACTCCCTTCTACCAATTGGGCCATATCCAAAATCAAGCCCACATTTTTTTCCATATTGGTATCAGATCTTATTGCCAGCCTATTGACACATCTATCTTGAATCAGCCGATTAACCAAGCGCTTCCCAACTCCTTTAACATCGGGATCTGTCTTCCAAATAATTCCAGATTCATCTCCCTCCATAACTCTGTTTATGGCTGCCATAGGAACAAGAACTGCCAAGGTTTTATGGGTTTCATCAATTAATTGCAGCAATCTGACCTTATTCTGGGATAGATGTTCCACTAATCACTCCAACCTCGGCAGGTACGGCAACTCTAGTTTCAAGTATTCCATTTCTTTCTCTATCACTTCTGCTCGACTTTCTACCTTCTTCTTGGCCATCGGATCGAACATGCTCTAAAACCAATTGTTAGGATCCAAGAAGTCAGAATACGAACTTGTGGAAGATTAACGAGGCCCTGTTCAGTTTTGATACCAAATTGATGAGTTTAAACACTAAAATAGATGGTTATTTAACAAATGGAATTTTACAATTTTGGATACTCACAGTATGGATGGCAATTTGAATCGTTAAAATCGAAAATCGCGATTAATCGAATCGAATGGGACGAAAAAATCGAACCGATGGTGCAATGAGGCGGATATGGTATTTGATTTTAATAAACCGATTCGTGGCAGTGCGAATATGATATTTATGCCGTCGAACCGATTACTCACTTAAAAAATCATTTTTTTTAAAATAATGCTATTTGCAGTCGTTCACTGCAGCAGTCGCCCTACATGATATACACATGACAGGTAGTTATTTGATGCATTAATGAATAAAAAAACTACCACATTAATGCATCAAATAATCACCTGTCATGTGTATGCCATGTAGGGCGACTACCGCAATGAGCGACTACGAATAGCATTACTCTTTTTTTTATTATGGATGACAAGGTCCAGTGAGGAGGAAGTTGACAAAGAGGTCCATGTTTTTATTTAAATCTTAGTTAAAATCATTCTGGATTAGGTTGTATCGTTGTATTCTTTACTTACATTTCTTATTTATTATAAAGGAATCAATTTTGAGTGCCGACTTATGTTAGTAAGAGTTGTGAGGAAGAATGAAGATTGAATATGAGTTAAGATTGAAACTTTTGAATTATTGAGTATAAATCAAGTAACTACAATGCACAAAAATCAAGAATGGAGGAAAATTTTAGTATTGTTATATTCATAATATTGTTTATTAAATTTGTATTTTGCAATTGGAATTTGAGATAATATTTGTATTTTCGTTTATAATATTGTGTTTTTGTTTTCATTGACTCTCTTTTCATAAATTGTTTTATAACAATTTGACGGATGGACCTATAAAAAATAATTTATTTTCGTGATTATTAATCGAACCGAATCGAGATACGAATCGAACCGATTTACGTGGTTATTATGCGGTTATGGTTTGGCAAAAAATTTGAAGGTTCGGTGATGATTTTGGTCGAATCGAACCGTTGTCATCCCTAACTCACAGGATCACTATTTAATATTTTATTTACTCAAATGAAAATTTCTCTTCCAACAAAGCAATCACACGACTGCATCTATATCTCTCAATATGATGCCTTTCTCTTCCTACTTAATTCTCATTCATATCTGACTAAATCAAATATTAGATCTTTGAGAGGCCAGTCTTAGAGTGATATTCCCAAAGTTCATCATCTTTTTATCCATCTGCATCATAAAGATAATGAATTAGAAAATTAATAACCCGCCTACTTAAATTATCTGCTAAAATATTATTTTTTTCATCTATATATTCTATGTTAATTTTATAACCACTTAATATCTCATATAATTTTAACCATCTTTTATGTTTTATTTTATCAAAATCTGTCTTTTTGATAAATTTTACTATAACTTCACAATTTGTTCTTATTGTAGACTGGTTATTTAGGAATAATTTAAAACTTTCTATGATATGTATGATGGCTATTATTTCACAATCCAAACTAGTTAAATATTTTCCTCTTATCTTATATTTTCCGCTAGCATATCTTCAAATTTCTTCTTCTTTTTGTCACTATATTTATTTTGTTTGGAGTATAAAATTCCCCCCATCCTAATTAATCCATCTATTTCTACTATTTTATATTCACTATCTAATGTTGGCGAATTTTTAACTTCTTTTATTCTTTTAACTTGTTCTATGCCTAATTGATTAAAATATTTTTATCCTTTATTAGATAATTTACTATACAATGATCCTACTTTCCTTCCTAAATCTTTGATAAAATGTCTAGTATAATTTAATATTCCTAGAAGAGTCCGTAATTTCTTAGTTTCTTCAATTTTATCTGAAAATTGTAAAATTGTCTGTACTATGTGTGGTTGTAGCTGAATCTTTCCTTTTCCTAAAATTATTTCTAAAAATTCAATTTTTGTTCATTTATTTCCATTTTTTTTTACTTATAATTAAACTATTTTCTAGACAAGTAAGAAAATTTTCTATGTAGATACCAATTAGAGTAACTAGAAACTAATAAAATATTTGGGTGGCAATTACTACGGGTGACAATTTCATGTACAATTCATTCAAAATCTTGTAACAAAAAGTTTTTGCAATAAAAAGTATTGTGCCAAATTTTTGAAAAAGTCTACGTGTCAATTTAATTCTGTTTGAAAAATTTGTGGAAAAAAGTCTTATCTTATATTTTTATAGTAAAATTCTCTATGTAGGTTTACTAATAAAAGAAAGAAAAAGTCTTTAAGTAAATAAGAAAAAGTCTATATCTTAATTAAGAGAAAATGGCAACTCTTCTTACTAATTACAACGTCTTCAAATTAAGTGTCCAAAATAGAAAATTTTCTAAGTAGTTACTAAAATAAAAAAATCTTAAAGAAAAAATTTTCTCTTAAAAAATGAATCTTACTATTTTTATCTTTATTTTCTCTTATAATTTTTATGTCTTTTTTTCCTTTCATACAATATTTAGGATTTTCTATCAAGAAAGTCCGATACTGAAAGATATAAAGCTCAGTGATTTGCTTCTTGATTTGTAAAGAGGAGTCATCTT